TATATATATATATATATAGGGTTGGGTTCACGTGAGACCAGCTTGTTTTCGTGAGACCCGTGAGACCACATTTTTACACGTAAACTTCACAGCAAAAACGCTGTGAAGGTTTAAAAAAAGTCGAACCTTCACAACAAAAACACTGTGAAGGTTTTAAAAAGTTACCTTCACAGCATTTTGCTGTGAAGTTTCAAGTGTAAAATGCTGGTCTCACGGGTCTCACGAAAACACAAAATTTAATACCGTGTACCAACCGACTGTACCTGATACCAACTTAATTGGTATCAATTTGTTTCGGTTGGTACATGTTGATAACGATTTTGTATCATCTTCAAGTTATATATATGAAAACTTGAAATTTTGTTTAAATTTTGAGTGATATTTCAAGTTTCAAGTAACAAATCCAATGTTTAAGAAGTTTTAACCGGAAACAATAAGACTTGCAACCATTCAAATATTTTAGATTAAGTTACAATTTTTAATATACAAAAAAAATACAATAACCAACAAATAATTCGGTACCATAGTACTACCGTGATACGCAACTTCTAATATCATATACCAACCAAGTTTATATACTTGATACGGTACTACCAAATAATTCGGTACAATAATCATAATGGGCTCACATTCTGTGCACATTCAATTGCACATGTGTATGTTACATATCAATTTAATGGATTCTCCAACCAAAAAAAATTAATTAAAAAACAAATGAAAAAAGTTATGACTATTTCATACATCTAAATTAGTCTTTTAATTATTATTTTTTTAGATTGATACAAATGTCACTACTTTTGCAATATTCAGGTACGCAATATTATACACATAGTTAAAGGTAAAAAAAAATTCAAATTCAACACAAATATGCAATTGTGACGAAAAAGTCTGCAATTACGATGATAAAACTGGTTGAATTTGATTTTGTTGTCTTTTAACTAGGTTCGCAATATACATTGTGAAAGTACTGATATGTAAATCTATTATCACACGTAATAATATACCTATATATATTGATCAATTATCACATGTGAGATTATATAAACCCTGATCAAGAATTAAGAGTAGAATGTTATACAGATGCCTCTTACAAACAAGATCTTGATGATCTTAAGTCTACCTCTTGTTACATCTTCATGTTGGCAGGAGGTGCGATATCATGGAAAGCGAATACATAGCAATCTATGATGCAACATCTCATGCCATTTGGCTCAAGAATTTTATTGCTGGATTAAAGATTGTGGATTCAATAGAAAGACCACTTATATTATATTGTGACAATGCTGCTGCTGTGTTTTTCGCCAAGAATAACAAGAGAAACAGTGGTTCCAGAAATATAGATGTTAAATACTTTGCAATAAGGGAAAATGTCAGAGATAAGGAAATAGAAGTATTGAAAATAGGTACAAAGGAGCAGTTAGCGGATCCTTTTACAAAGGCACTTCCAGTTGAATGTTTTAAGAAACATGTCAAGGATATGGTGATATCAAACTCTATTGACTTTTAAAGAACTGATAAGTTGCAAAATCATAGTTTACATTTCCTTGTAATATGAACATATCTTATATGTAATTATATGTATATATGTAATGTGGGAGCTCTTGCAATTATGTGAAATTAAGATTTGTACAAATTGGGATATTCACATGAATACATAAGAGCATTCCTCTTCAAATTTAAGTAAATGTATTTGATAAATTAGAATGTTAAGTGTATGAGGATTTAATTGATCAGCAGTTGTCAATCTTAGTATTGATCAAATCAGGATTAGGTACCAATTGAAGTCAACGTTTAATTGAAACTTTAACATTATGACCATGGAAGCCTGCACAATCTTATTGCTCAGTAAACTTTCACAGTCTGATGATTGGTTTCAATTATGAAGAAACTGAAGAACTAATGTAATAAAGTGAATCAAGTGCCCAATTCCGAATAATTGTTGTTTTAAGATTATCTTGTTCAGTGGGAGATTGTAATATATATATATATATATATATCACAGTTGAGAACAAGATAATTGTGAGTCAACAATTATATGATTCACATTAATATAATACTGTTACATTGGTTTGATATTAAACATATCTATAGAGGGTACCGTATAAAACTAAATGTATTTATTTGGTGACAGTTAATGTTCGGTTCTCTGATGGAGTAAGTCGTTTCTTCAGATCCTTTGATTGAGAGGCAGGTCATATAAACCTTTTGGCGCCAATATTGTTCATTCTCTATCAAGTACACTGGACATCTATTGATACCACATCCATTATGGGATAGATATACAAAAGTGGATCTTATATAGAATGGAATAAGAACAAATCATCATAGGGCATGCATCTTTACAATTTTTTAATATACAAAAAAATACTATAACTAACAAATAATTCGGTACCATGGTACTACCGTGGTATGCAACTTCCAATACGTGTACCAACCAAGTTTGCATATTTGGTACCGTACTACCAACTGACTATAACTGGTACCAATTAAATTGATACGGTTGGTACACATGTTGGTTGGTTTGGTTTGGTACAAAATTGTCACCCTAACTATATATATCTATAATATAAATAAAAAAAATTAATTGGAGTCAGAATAGGAACGTGTAATGTCATCCCCGACCTTTCTCCGATCCGTTGGGTATGAAAATAAATCCCCGTTACTCGTCGAATCAAGGAATCTCTGCTTCGTTAGGATCGAGCACCCACGGGTAATATTTTCATCTTTACATATTGTGAAAACAAAATATATAACTTTTTGAAATTCCTTATTCACAGTGTGTTTGTTATAATAATATTTATAAGAAAATGATAATAATGAGCTCACCCATTCAACTATACGCAAGTGTATATTAGTGGTAGAGAAGTGATGATTTTGTAAATCCTTCAATTTTGGCCCCCACCTCCCCCCACCGCCCCACCGCCCCTCTCTTCAATTAGAGTTGATTTTTTTAAATATATTAGATTTTATTTTATTTTTCAACCATTTTTATGACATGAATTGAATGTCACCCATTAAAATTCTCATAAAAACCCCCAATCAATTTAATGGATTCTCCAACCAAAAAAAATTAATTAATTTTCTTCTCTTTGTTTTCTTTTCCTTAAAGTAGTAGAGAAAAAGGATGTAGAAGGGAAGGAACAAATGTCGTCGGAGTTACAACACACATCCGCCATGTTTACCGGCGACAACACCCAGCTTCATGTCGTTTTCCTCCCTTCTTTCCTTTCTGGCCACATGATCCCTCTGGTCCAATTCGCCAGGCTCTTTGCAGCCCGTGGAGTTCGCTCCACCATCATCACCACCGTCYACAATGCCCTCACATTTCAAGCCTCCGTTGACCGTGACATCGCCGCCGGGTACYCTATCAACGTYCACACCGTAAACTTTCCAGCATYGGAGGTCGGAATTCCCATCGGAGTAGAAAATGTGGGCACTGCCCCTAAACCAGAAATGGCATCCGCAGTTTTCCGTGGGATGATGGTGCTCCAGACACCAATCGAACAATTGATTCGCGATCTTGCACCAGATTGCATCTGCTCCGACGTGTTATTCCCATGGACTATTGACCTCGCCGACGAACTCAAAATCCCGGGACTGTTTTTTWMCMCTAYTTCTGTCTTTTCTGAAWCCGTTTTCCGTAGCTTGAAAGTTAACGCTCCTCAGGMTAAAGTGAAATCGGAATCCGAGAGTTTTGTGGTTCCAAATTTGCCAGATAAAATCACGATGAACAGGTCCCAGGTCCCACAACATCTTAAAACGAAGACCACAKTGAGTGCGATAATGGAAGCGGTTGAACAATCTGAGAAGCGAAGTTGCGGAATGGTTCACAACACGCTTTACGAGATCGAACCTGCATATGTGGATCACAATRACTTGTTGAAAGGTACCAAAACCTGGTCTGTTGGTCCACTTTTTCAGTTTTTCAACAACGATGACGACAACGGAGGTGTGTCGGAAAAGCACACTTCTCTGAGTTGGCTCGACAATCARAAACCCAAATCGGTGATATACGCTTGTTTTGGTAGCATGGYGAGATTCCCAGATGCTCAAATCACTGAAATTGCATTGGCGTTGGAAGAATCTAAGCAGCCGTTTGTTTGGGTGGTGGGCAAGAAGGGAGGAGAGGAAAAGATCGGTGGAATGCCGGAAGGTTTTCAGGAGAGGGTCGAGAAAGAAAATAAGGGTTTAATCTTGACGGCATGGGCACCGCAGGTGAAGATTCTACAACACCCGGCGGTTGGAGGGTTCTTGACTCACTGCGGTTGGAACTCCGTGATGGAGGCCGTGGGCGCCGGTGTACCGATGATGACTTGGCCCTTGTTCGGCGAGCAATTTTGCAACGAGAAGTTGGTTGAGCTTTTAGGGATTGGAGTSGGTGTCGGGGYGGAAKTTGGGAACTCGAGTCCTGTGATCAGAAGCCCAATAGTCGAAAAAGGAAGTATACTAGAGGCTATTCGGGTGATAACAGGTGGATCCGCCATAGCTGAAAGCATCAGAAGCAAGTCAAAAGCGTTGTCCATAATAGCCAAAGAGGCTGTTGAACCAGGTGGGTCTTCTTTTAATTGTTTAACGGCGTTGATAGAAGAGCTCAACGCCGTTAAATTGGCCTCAAAGTCGTTACCATAAGACCAAGGAGTCAATTACGTTTTATTGCATCCCCTCGATATTAGAACCTATCTCCGTATATGTTTTAGAATAAAAACCGGAAACGGAAATCGAGAGAAATGGTCATTCTACTCTCGTAGATTGGTATTTTTATCCATTCCTCTCCTGACTTTACCCAAATGTCAGTACCTTTGCAATTGGCACCTATTTAATTTGCGAAAATATTTGGAATACCAAAAAAAATTACATTCTCTACCGCAATTTCTGCTTAGGTCCGCAAGTCATGGTGGTACTTGCGGATCTGGACACAAATTGGTTTTTTGGTCTTCGAGCTACATCCGTAAATTACGGAGTTGTTAACTGCAGAGATAGTGACATTTGAATAAAATAGAGAGAGATGAATGTCTAGAAAACCAATTACAATGAGATTAATGGCTGTTTCGGTCAATTACCAAACCACAAACCATGCATTTTACATTACGTAGTTTTTGTTGACGACATGTATGCAACTTAAACTTATGTAGTATATTGGGAATTATCCTAAAGTAGGTTATGTTTTTCTTTATTTAGTGTCACTAATATTTTGTATGAAATTAAGTGGTCGTATATGAAACATTTTATTATAAAGAAATTGATTTTTGTGGGACACCTAAAATGTCTAAAAGCATTTCAATAAGTTTATTGTACGTTTTTAGGACACTTTTAAAATAAAATATTCTATTAGTTATTTTTATATGACAATTATTGAAAAGTGTGCTATAAAACCTCTTTTTATAGGACATTTATGTTTAATGACAATTTTCAAATTATATCGTATAAAATAGCTAATACAACACTTTATTTTAAGAGAGTCTTATTAAACTTGTTAAAACACCTAAAGACATCCTATAGACGTATTCTAAGACTTTTAGAAATGACACTTTCTGGTTTGGTTTTATAAACTTGAGACCTACAGAGTATTTTATTAAGACGATTACACATTTTAAACGTTCTGTAAAACCAATTTTATTATAGTACTTAATGGGTAAGCGCTTACCGATAAAATTTACCATCATCACTTATCTTATTGGATTTTATAGGTACTGAGCGTATGTAAAAATAAGGGCTTTTGATAAAGACGAAAAAATATTTGTTACTAAATAAATTATAAAATTTAAAATATCATAAAAACTAAAAAAAAAATCAATATCAGTATCAAATTAACTATTAAAAATCTCATTTTTTGTGTAATTTCTTTGATTCAATTTTTTTTGTAATTTAATTTATATTTAATAACGAAGTAATTTGTTTTTGATTTAATAATATTTTTTTTATAAAGATAATGATCAAATATTTTGTTAGAAGTCAATGATTATCCTAATCATATTTTAGATTTTTTTTATATTTAAAATGAGATATTTATCTTCTATTTGATTAACCTAACTCACGTACCTCTTTAATGAGCGAACAACCCAACCCTTTCATCTGCAGTTAGTTACACGAATCAAACATGAACCTTTAATAAGTTGTACTTACACATATTTTACTTGTAATCTTGAATTTCAAGTTATATGCATTAAAAAACAGTATTTCATGCATAAAAATGATTTTTAAGAGTTTTTGTTAAATGCTTTATAATATAGTATAGATATGTAGCGAAATAAAACCTCGAACCATGCATTGGATATTATTTATTCTTGTTGACGTCATGCATGCAACTTATATTTATGCAATATATAAATCATTTGACAAAAACTCTTAAAAACTAATTTTTATGCGTAAAATACTGTTTATTAATGCATATTACTTAAAACTCAAGATTACAAGTAGATTGTGCGTAATTACAACTTATTAAAGCTTCATATCTTAATTCGTGTAACTAACTGTAGATAAACATAATCGAATACATGATAAACATCTCATTTTAAATATAAAAAA